TTAAGGATTTAAGGGATTTCAAGGTTTTTAAGGGATTTCAAGTTTTTAAGGGATTTCAAGGTTTTTAAGGTTTTTAAGGGATTTCAAGGTTTTTAAGGGATTTTAAGTTCTTTAAGGTTTTGTTAAGGTTTTTTTTAAGGTTTTTTTAAGGTTCTTGTTTCTTTCTAAAATTGTAGCGTGAAGTTGAATTTTGTTTTTTCTACCTTTTCTGCGTCCACTTGTGTCGTCCTCGTCCTGGACCTGCACACTGACACACACAACACACACACACACACACACACACAGACACACACACACACACACGTCACTCAGGAGGCTGCGTGCTGAGCTGCAGCTCTGACAGGTTATCGATCAGCTGGTACCGACCTTGAGGTGAGAAGACGGTGGTGTAAACCTCGAACTGCTCGTCGCTCTGTCTGTAGATCTGCTGCATGCTGCTCGCTCTCTCTCACACACTGACACAGGCTGACACACGCTGACACACGCTGACACACGCTGACACAGCTGACACAGGCTGACACACGCTGACACAGGCTGACACACGCTGACACAGGCTGACACACGCTGACACACGCTGACACACGCTGACACAGGCTGACACAGGCTGACACACGCTGACACAGGCTGACACACGCTGACACAGGCTGACACAGGCTGACACACGCTGACACACGCTGACACAGGCTGACACACGCTGACACAGGCTGACACAGGCTGACACACGCTGACACAGGCTGACACAGGCTGACACACGCTGACACAGCTGACACACGCTGACACAGCTGACACACGCTGACACACGCTGACACAGGCTGACACACGCTGACACACGCTGACACAGGCTGACACACGCTGACACACGCTGACACAGGCTGACACACGCTGACACACGCTGACACAGGCTGACACACGCTGACACACGCTGACACAGGCTGACACACGCTGACACACGCTGACACACGCTGACACACGCTGACACACGCTGACACAGGCTGACACACGCTGACACAGGCTGACACAGGCTGACACACGCTGACACACGCTGACACACGCTGACACACGCTGACACACGCTGACACAGGCTGACACAGGCTGACACACGCTGACACACGCTGACACAGGCTGACACACGCTGACACACGCTGACACACGCTGACACACGCTGACACAGGCTGACACAGGCTGACACACGCTGACACACGCTGACACAGGCTGACACAGGCTGACACAGGCTGACACACGCTGACACACGCTGACACAGGCTGACACACGCTGACACACGCTGACACACGCTGACACAGGCTGACACACGCTGACACACGCTGACACAGGCTGACACAGGCTGACACACACTGACACACACTGAGCTTAAATACGCTCAGTCACTAATCCAGCACACACACTCACAGAGGGGTGTGTCCAGGCAGGTGTTCATGGCCTCCTATTGGCTGACAGCTCGCAGTGAATCTCTGAGAAATGGGCTGATTACAGTGCAGTACTCATTTTAACCACTAGGTGTCAGAGTTACATACTGCTCCTTTAAGTGAAGGCTGTCAGACGGGAAAGAGAGATATGTGGTCATCGTTCGTTTCATCATGGAGGGGTGGTCATAGTAACAGTGCCGGGTCGATTTGGGCCATGTGGGTTCCAATGCGAGTTCAACAGCAGGAAGTCCAAGCATGGCGAGATAAAGCTCGGTGTCGTCAGCGTAACAGTGAAACCAGATTTAAGATTCTGAAGTTTTCCCAAAAGAAAGATGGAAAAACATGAGACAGAGCCTCCTCTGATCCGTCACTCAGGTGAGCTCTGTGTGTGTGTCTCTGTGTGTGTGTGTGTGTGTGTGTGTGTGTGTGTGTGTGTGTGTGTGTGTGTGTGTGTCATGTGAATGGGCTCCGTGGTGCGTTCAGGGTCACGCTGTTCTTAGCTCGCTGGCTGATCTCAGGGTTAAACCAGTTAAACACGGTCAGATCAGGTTTATATAACAACTGATCCAGGATCAGATTAAACTGGATTTAAAGAGGAGAACTTCTGAGAAACACACACACACATACTTGTTTAAGCTACCTCATGGGGACTCCTGCTAGGAGGTGAAAGGTGGGGACAAAATTTTCTGAATGTTATCATGACTTTGTTTTAACTCCAAAAAATCTAAAAGGGCTCTGGTATCCCAAAAATGTATTCAAGTATCAATATTTCACAAATTTAAAAATCTTAATTTTTTTCTGGTTTTTCTATTCCGGTGAGGACAGACCCATTGTGTTTTACTTCAAACCACCACCAGAAGTCACCGTTTCACATTTGTCAAAAGAACAAAAATTTAAATACATTTACAGGCTTGTTTAAGCAAGGAAATACAAGGAAAGTTTAGAGTCAATCAATTATTAGCTTTAAAAAAATGTCTGTATTTCATGGATTAGTCTGCAGTTTTTATTTTGCTTTCTTGTTAAACATTTACTGCACTGTAAATACAAAACTGAAGAGCTGTATTCCAAAGTCACTGTACTTAAAAATGACAGTATCTTCTGTGTTGCTCTTAACATGAATAACAATGCTGCCTTTAAGTATTTTATAACTGCATTGTATTATAAAACAAATATACATGTATATTACACTTTCAAGTGTTATGGTTTCAAATTAAAGAAATGTACAAAAACCGTACACTAAGTGTGGTAAGTTCACAAACCTGCAAGCTGCAAAAACATTAGTTCCAAAGATCAACACAAAAAACAAGCCATGGAACACATACATGGCTAATGAGGTTTCACAACAGCCAACGAGAGAGAGAGAGAGTTAAAGAGCGAGCAAGCAAGCGAGAGAGACAAAGCTAGAGAGTGAGCGAACGAGAGAGAGAGGTAGAGAGAGAGAGATAGAGGGGGAGAGAGAAAGAGGGAGAGAGAGAGAGTGAGAGAGAGATTGAGTGAGAGAGCGTCAGATTTAACCTGCAGAAAACAAAGGCTGAGTCTCTCCAAAGGAACAAACTGTTTACAAACTCAGTCAAAAATAACCGCAGCTTGACTTCAGATTCTCTTGGCAGATATTAGAAAATATATTTCACAATTTTTAGAGGCCGGCCAACACAGAGACAGACAGACAGACAGACAGACAGACACAGTCTGTATAGTATAAAAGTATAAAATACTTTTTGTTGGGAGATATATCCAAATACAGTATTTACATTTGTTTCAAATGTATAACGGTTCACAAGCTTTATAGCTCTCCATACCATAATTTCAATAGTACAAAATTCTTAAGATGGGTGAACTGTATATAAAATTATATAGTTAACTTCAAGCCAAAAAAAACTCAAACACTTGCTTTGCACAGCTTATAAAAATGAACTGTAAGTTTAGGAATTCTAGCTAGACAAAATAGGCTGTTGAAAACACCCATTTGGGCTCTGGGAAATAATTCCCCATCAATTTGGCATGTAACAACTGTAAATATCAACTGATTACAGTTTATGATCAGTAAATCTGTTGATCATTTTTTATAATCTATAAACTACAGTGGCCCGTAGGGGTCAAACGCTCAGCAACTGATGAAACGATATAGATATAGAAAAATGTGCAGCATATTTAGAAATGCTGCACATTCAAAAGCAAATGCAAAGGCTGAAACACGCTGCAAAGACACAAACGCACTGCAAATAGGAAGAAGTCAAAACCGTAAAAAGTCCAGACTGCAGAGGAGTCCAGACGGGTCTCCACTCGTCATCCGGTCTCCACTCCTGAACTTTTCACACTTCTGTTTGAAACAGTAACGTATGACCCATTTCCCCATACAGATCGTTCATTTCCACATACAGATCGTTCATTTCCACATACAGATCGTTCATTTCCACATACAGATCGTTCATTTCCACATACACTTTCTCCTTTTCCAAGTTGTTTTCGTTTTGGTTCCGCTGTTTATTGATCTTGAAGTCCTGATTGACAGAAACAGAAAACATGAATGTAACTGAACCGTTTTTCATGCTTGCTCCATTAGATGAAGTACATCTACTGACTTCCACATTCACATTACACACCTGTCTGGGAATCCTTGGAGGCCCAGCCCGGTGATTGTTTTTGGGCAGCCATGTGCGGGGAGGCAGTTGGTCGTCTAAGATCTCATTTCCAAAAGTCTCGATCTTACGTCTTTTGTAGCGGAAAACGATGAGGGCTGTGATGATGATGATGATGAAGACCGTGAGCCACACGACTGCTGTGGAAATTGCAACAACTGCTGAGTTCTTCAAGCTGACAGCTACCAGACATGACTTCATACCCACAAGGTTTTGAGCTGTACAGACCAAGGTCCCTGGGGCAACTTCCGGTGATTGTTAAAAACAGGTCACCTCCTATAGAATCAACAATGGAATCAGAGGGGAGACTCTTGCCTGTGCCATCCATGGACCATCTGTACCACACGGGGGAGCTGCCTCGTGAACTCCTACATCTGAATACCACCTCACAATCCAACTCAACCACACCCTCCACGTAACACTCAGGTTCAGTTGGCCTCTCCATTACATCCATGTGAATGATGTGGCTCTGGATTCCAGGTAGTTTTCTCACCTTGCACTGGTAGGTGTTGGTGTCTGTCATTTTCAAGTGACTGATACTTATTGAAGCGTTGCCAGTTGCAGGACTAGAGGACACAAACTGAACTCTAGACCCGAACACCTCATAGTTGTCAAAGATGCGATTTGCAGCATACCAGATGACGAGTGTCTCTGGTAGATTAACATCTGTAGGCTTGATGCTCCATTCAATGTCGATAACGCCCGTGTCCTGAGGAGCAAGGTTGAAGTGACAGCTGAGTGTCACATTTCCTCCCGCTGCCGCATATGTTGGTGACACTGTGCTTGAGAATATTTTCAGTCCACAAGATGGTTGTGGATTGAAAAGCAAAAATAAGACCATAATGTAGTGGTGCTATAGCCTGAAGGAGATGTGGGGTCTTGGAGGATGCTTTTTGAAGAAGGATTTTCTGGGGATGGGCATCTGCAAGTAAGACATAGGCCAAAAATCTAATTTTGAGAAGAAAAACACAGTTCAAATTTGGTAATTTTTCAATTTTAATTGAAAAGGATTATTTTAGATGGAAATATGGAAGATAACATGATCGCGACCCAGATTCTGATCTATTACATGCGAAAGTGCTACACTAGCATTTAGCATGTAATTCAGAGTATGTGAGAGATGGAGGAAATTAACTCAAAACGTCATTCTACAACTCCTTTGCTGATTGCTAAGAGGAAAATTCATTATGTACTTTTCTTTTCTGTGATTCACCTACAAAAGACGCATGTCTGGAATAATATCATTTACTCTGATTTGGGTTATTACAGTGGTTGGCAAACTTCCTTCTTTGTTAAAAAGAGCCATTTTTGCCATTTTTCAGGGTCGGGCAGAGCGACGTGCCTGATTGGTCGAGCGACTGACAGAGAGAGATCGGTGAATGTGAGCAGAGCAGGGATTTTGACAATCTGACAGTTTGCTTATAGTTAACATCATATAAGGGGCTGTATTTAACAGTTTCGGGGTTAGAGGCAGCGCCCTCCAGATCTGTGGCAGACAGGTGAAAGTCTGTAAGTGATCATTTCTTCAGGAGTCTGGGAGAATTCAGCTGAACAGAGTGAAGCAGTAAACTTTATTCATTTGATTCATTAATGAGATAGATCTTAGATCAAAAACCTTGGGATAAAGAATAATGGCTGTTTGAATCTTTCTAGAATGTTAAAAATTAAGTAGGATCCAAACATTTGACTGTTTTGTTTCAGAGTGGTGCCATAGAAGCCAAGAGAGATGGTTATTAAACTGTCATATTGCAGAAAAAAAAAATTGCAATGTCAGTTTTTTCCAATATCCTATATATAGCCCTACTTTATAGTACTTGTTTAGCAAGGAAACTACAGCGGGGAATGTATAATTCATTAATTACTACCGACATTCATATAGTCACTTTAGTAATGTAGTAGTCATTTTTATCTAAAGCCAAGACTAATAATGTAACTGAAACCATACTATAAACCAGATGTAAACTAGTTAAACAGAAAACGACACAGAGTATTTACTTAAGGTATCAATAAAAACATGTAACCTCATTCCCCTTCATTGAATTTAAAAAGTATTTTAAATGATCAAAAAGTGGTGCAGACTTAGCAGAGAGAGAGCAAGTGAGAGATAAACAAAGATCCTTTACCTACTATTTCCCATATTTAAGTACACAACCTGCTATGTTGCATAAAATACACCTTTACATGCTTAGAATTACAAGGACATTTTTATTTCCAAGATGATATAGCAGAAAAGATCAGAGAGAATTAAAGATAACATGAAACCTAATTGCTGCCCTTGATCACTGTCAACCGTCTTTCACTTTGGTCCAGAACATATCTGTGTTTGATTAGTGATGTAGAATTGGATCTCAACATGTCCTCGATGCATTGTTTTGGCATCCTTCCTGATTACATAGGAGAGCAAAACAGCGTAGAGAAGGTAGGGATGACATGCAGCAAAGGAGCGAGGGCTGGAGTTGAGGACTCAGCTTCTTTACAGAAGTGGGCACTATACCAACTGAACTAAACCTGAACCAAGGACACTAATGGTGGGATAATTCAGACAACATACCAGGTGTTATCAGGCCTCAGGGAAAGAGTTATCTCACACCTGTAACATTATGTTATGAATGTAAAATTTGCTTTATAACTTACCATCGTGTTCTGGTTGTTGTGTTCAAACAAGTTGCTGTCCTTATTGACTTTTAACCTCTCTGTGTGCGCTTTCTTATAGCGTCTCTCACACACTTCATGGTGTGCTTTTAGATTCTTCAGGCGACGAATATGACGGCTTCTGGCCTGCAAAACACAACATTTTTTTTATGAAAAACTATGCATCATAGGAGAGGACAGCATAGAGACAAAGCGGATGAAAAAGAGGCAGCAACAGCCCAGGCCTGAATTCAATCTGGGGTGCTGTGACAGAATTACTGTACATGCTCTCTCTTAAGTAAAAAAGAGTTTAGGTTTATCTAACTGCTTGTTTTATTATTTTTGGAATTTTATCAATGTGTGTAAAGTTAATACAATTGAGGATGTGAGATTATTATGATGCATGGAGATGCATTGTGATTTGTAGTTTGAGCCTGAGATTTGTGTTCCATTGCACCACGACTTTAAACACAGGAAAATGTCAGTAAACTAAAGATAGATGTATGAAGATGTAATATTTGCAAAGTTCATATACATTTTCTGGTAAGATGATACATCTTTGTAGAAAAGTTACCACATTTAACTATCAGAATCAGCTTTATTTTTTTTTTTCAGGCTCAGAAACTATTCACCCAAAGTATTTATTAAAGTAAACTCTGTAAGGTTATGCATGTAGTAAAGTGGTTACCTGTTGATTTCCAGAGCCCAAAGATGTCATGTCTACCTCTTCATTATCTGTGTCAAAGCCTTTTTCCACACCAGCAAGAGATGTCAGAGGATGAAATCCTTACTCGACTCAAAATGAATAAACAAATCCTTCCATGCAATCACGAGTATAATAAGTTTTGATAGGCAGATGGAGTTACTGAAGAGTGCAATGTAGTTTAGTGCAGATGGCCTAAATTTGGGTGAGAGATTGTGGGAATAGCTCAGGACTAGACAACGTCTCCCTTTTCTTTGTACTACTTGCATTTAATAAGCTCATGGACATGTTGGCCATCCTGCACTAACTACCGGTAATTGTTTTGATATGTTTTAAATCATTAACGCGGCTTGTCCACAAATGGATCACAACGGTGTGAAACATTTCATTAGTTTACTGCTGCTGCATATTGAGGTACACAAACACACACACAGGTATAAAGACCAGGGAGGAGGCGGGGTGGGACATGCTGCGAGCCTTTAGGCCGAGCACGACACATCAAATTAGCACAGAAAATAACAAGTGGGACGAGAAGTCAGACACCAATACAACATTAAAACATCCGGTTTATTTACAGAATAAAACTCTCCTTTTGGACGGTTCAGAAAAATTACCCTTTGTGTGTTTGTTTATGTGTTTATAAGGTTTTTATTGAGTTTTATACCACGTACTTTGTATTATCTTGTGCTGTCACGAGTGAATCTGTAAAATTACCGCAGAAATTCCTTTGTCTCCATACTCCAGCTGTCCGGCTGTGCTCTCTGTGCTGCGGACTGAGAACGCAGCTGGTGGGTGTTGACGGACGAGGGCGCACCACATCTTTTTGGCCACCGGTAACTATACAGTGACTACACCGGTAGGTTAATAGGGAAGGTACACGCGCACCTACTCGACTCGTCCTGATTGGTCAGCTGTCAGAAAAGCGCTTGACGTCACCCAGCACTTCTCTGAAAAGTTAAAACAATTCAACTGAAAAGGGGTCAGGGAAAAGGCGTCATCCTTTTTCCATAGGGTTGTATGTAAAAAGGCACTGGCAGTTGAAAAAAGAAGCCAAGTGTGAACATGGCCTTAGAGTGGGAGTTCAAGTGCTTGTGGATAATACACACACGACTCCTAAAAGGGCGGCAAACTGAGCAGCTTAAAGTAGTTAGTGAACAAAACCAAAAATAAGTTGCAAAGAAAACCACAATTAACTATTTAATCACAAATTAATTAACATTATCCTACATGGGTTATGTAGTCTGGGTCTTAGGTGATTTGTCTTATTTGTTGAATAGCTGTAATTTCAATGGGTTAAGGGGCTTACATTATCTATATAATCAAGGTAACCTTTATACTAAATAATGAACAAGTTGAATTTAGTAATAATCGCTCACTCTGAATCTTTTCTTTGGAAATTGTGATCAAATGCACTTCTAGTTAGAGGTGGGCGATATGGGAAAAATATCATATCACAATTTGTTTTTGGCAAAATCACGATTTTATCACGATTTTTTTCATACTGATCTTTAGACAGATTTGTAAGTTACTGACCAGTTTGACCAAACTTATTTCCCTGTTTAATGTTTTTAAATGCACAAAAACTGTGCTGACAAGTTTAATCTATTTGAAAAAGATCTTTGTAGGAGGTCTGGAGGTCTCTCACCAAGAACATCTTTAGCAACAGAAATGTCTTTCCCTCAATTTGATCAATATTTATGAACAATTTGAAGGTTTTCCTCACCACTTTGAAATGATGATTTAGTTATGTGTCCTCTTTTTATGTTCATCAGGAACATTTTCACACAGTGATGCATTCATTTAAAAACATGTAGACTTTGAGTTCTTGTGTTTCTGTTCTGTTTTAGCCCTGCAGAGTTCCTCCAGCTGGAGCTTCATACAGGCTCTGCAGACTTTGTTGTTTTTATGACATCATTGGACTAACTTTAGTTTAGTTTATATATAATCAAACATAATACAGAATGTGTTCATTCTGTGACACATGATCAAAGTAAGTTTTACTGACAGAAGAGTTGAATTCATAGAGGGGGCGGGACATTGTTGATTAACAGACAGACAGTCACCATGGTTACTCACTCTCACCTGCCTGCTGCTTTGTAACGTCGTTTAGTGTAATCCCTATAGGTTCAGTTATCACAACAGGTGAGCTTCAGGTGGAGAAGCTTGATAAGTAACTTTTAAAAACTGAGAGAGAGCAGAAAACACCGACAGCAACATTTGAAACACCGGGGTTATATCTCCCCTCACTGTCTGTCTGAGCTCCTCTCTGTCTGACTCTCTGCAGACTGTTAACGTCTCTCCGTGTCGCTCTCTGAGATGTAAACTTAACTGTGCACACTATGCAGATAAGTTAACTGTTGCTCACAGCGTGACGGTTTGGAAAAATATCAGAACAGTTACATATAAATGGGATGGAGTTGTTTTTGCGGACTAATTCTTAAGTTTCCTTTTCACCTCGGCGGAGCAGAGGGGGAGGGGGAGACGTGTCTGTGTGGGAGCATAAACTGCAGCATGATAGAATAAACACATTAGCCCGGTTCTACGATCTCTCTGCTTTGGCAGATCGTCAGCAAGTTAAAATCCTTCACGATCTAAGATCGTTATATCGCCAACCACTACTTCTAGCCTTTTAAATCTTGGTCTGACATTGATCCAGTGGAAATGAAACCCTTCCATTTGTGAAGAATACCCCCCCCTCCCCATTTAAAAAACTGAATATCAGGCCCTGGTGTAAACCTACATCGCTTCTAACTTCCATCTTCACTCAACTCAAATAAACATTGCAACTCACCTTGCTCACGAGCGTATTGAATGCTGCAACCAGTGGCAGGAGGACTCAGGTCATTTTTCTGTGGGAACAACAACACAGTCAGTTTATGTTCATCTCAGTGTGTTCAGAGTGAGAAATTAACTGTTTCAACATCTACAATTCATAGGTAGACATGTTTAAATACACCAGTCAATTCAAAGTTGATTCATTCACTTCTACAAAGTGAGTCTAAACATGTTGATGCATCACATGCTTAATTTTATAAAAGGCCTATACCGACTTAAACTAAACATTACGATTTAAAACGATTTAGTGATCATTTGTCAAAAAATAAATAAATAAATTCTCGAGCATGCATCTCTAATCAAACCTTCTACTGCTGCACAGTCACACCTGCCACCACAGTGCTTTAACTTCAATCCACACTCCTTTTAAAAACCCAGAATTCACACGTACTCCCTGTGCGCCGCGGTCCGTCAGAGTCAAACCTGATTCATGCTTCTTGTTGGGTAGAAGACGAGCACCGCCAACATTTTCTAACAATGCGGACGGGGTCGCCGCACCACGCCGACCATAAGAAGCATGAATCAGGTTTCACCCATCCCCACTGGATCCGTTTCGGGAATGTCATTGCAGCAGAGCGCGCGGTCGGAGTATGTGTGAATTGGGGTCATACTCGTTGCATTTACACACGGTGCAGAGGAGTAATATCAAAAAAATAGAAAAAATTAAATTACGTGGCACAACACTGGCTTCATTTTCATCCAAAAATATTTATTTTTAGAAAATATACATGGAGAAAATCAACATTAAAACGTTGTGCCAATGATAATTCTGAAGTTAGCCTTGTCCTGCCTGATTAACTTGACATACGAGCACGTTGTGCTAATTATCTGCCCCTGATAGCTAAGTGTTAGCTAGCCAACTTTAACTCATCAGCTTAGTTTACGTTTTTAGAATTTAACTATGCTAATTTTATCGTGTAACACGGTCTAAAAAGTATAAAATTAGTCTTCACAACACAACATTAAAGTTTGAGCAGAAAACAAGTCTTTAAACTTACCATTTCTTCTTCTATGATCACAGCTAGCTCCGTCGGACTGCATGTACAAAGAACAGTGTCTGTCTGTCTGTCTGTCTGTCTGTCTGACTGTCTGTCTGTCTGTCGCGTGTCTGGCAGCAGGTGTGCCGTGTGCAGTTCAGAAAGATGACACAGCATACACCAAAGTAACGACACTGCTGTGATGAACAGAGCCAGAAACAAAAGGGCAAGCCTGGTATAAAATCAAATGTGATGTTCACTGCACAGGTTGGCTCACAGCCAGCAGCTCGTTAAGGAGGAGGAGGGAAAACAGAAAATAGACTCATTCTCATGTCATGTTTTTTCTTACTGTGTTTATCAAGTCTATCTAAAGCTACCGTTGTGCTGTACTTTTTTTTATTAAAAAAAAAGAATTGCTCCATGGTCTGGAACAAGTTTTAATAATTATAACAAGTTAATGTAATAATTATAACTGAATATATATAATTATGTATATGGGCTACACACAATTGGCAAGCTTTAAGATAGAAGTTTTTAATCACTTTAGACCTCAACCTCCCTCGTAAAAAAATACATATCACCTAAAGATGATTTAATCCAAAAGGCATTCAAGTTTATATTGTGAGAGACAGAAAGTGTTCACTGAAGTAATGATGAGGTCAAAATACTCCTTACTGCCTAATAATTGTGCACGCAGTCATAAGCTTAGAGTTTCCTATAGCTGAGTGAGGCAGTAGGGGTGTGGCCTCTTGATGGGAAAGGTGGGGACGTCTACAGTCAGGATTTGTGTAATATACCTTCTCATGGCTTCATCTGGCTGCTACAGAAAGTAGGGGGCGTGGCCTATTCATGGGAAAGGTGGGGATGTCTACAGTCAGGATTTGTGTAATATATGCTCAGTGGTTCTTCTGGATGTGTGACACAGTAGGGGCTGGGGCGGCAGCATGGTAATTGTGGGGACTGAAGAAGTCAGGATCAGTGCATCATTAGGTCTTACTCATTACTACATTAATAACTTCCTTTAGTGAAAATGCAAGCACTAAACTGAAATATAAATTATTGTTAGAAGTAATTGACAAAAAATATTAACAGATGTAAGGTATTCAGATTTTTTTTGATAAACATACTTCCAATTATGGCTTAACATGTCTACAAAATCCTACTATACATAATAAAAAGGCCCTTACACAATTAACACATCATCCCCTTTTTTATTTACCTCTTGAACAAATGATACATTTAAACAAAATTGATGATAAAAAAATGTATCTGAGAAGAACCCAATATTTTTTTTGTTCTATGGGCTGTGCCTGAGGCTCTATGAGCTGTACTGTGTCTCTATGAGCTGTACTGTGTCTTTATGAGCTGTACGGTGTCTTTATGAGCTGTACGGTGTCTTTATGAGCTGTACGGTGTCTCTATGAGCTGTACTGTGTCTCTATGAGCTGTATTGTGTCTCTATGAGCTGTACTGTGTCTCTATGAGCTGTACTGTGTCTCTATGAGCTGTATTGTGTCTCTATGAGCTGTACTGTGTCTCTATGAGCTGTACTGTGTCTCTATGAGCTGTACTGTGTCTCTATGAGCTGTACTGTGCCTGAGGCTCTATGAGCTGTACTGTGTCTCTATGAGCTGTACTGTGTCTCTATGAGCTGTACTGTGTCTCTATGAGCTGTACTGTGTCTCTATGAGCTGTGTCTGTGTCTCTATGAGCTGTACTGTGTCTCTATGAGCTGTACTGTGTCTCTATGAGCTGTACTGTGTCTCTATAAGCTGTGTCTGTGTCTCTATGAGCTGTACTGTGTCTCTATGAGCTGTGCTGTGTCTCTATGAGCTGTACTGTGTCTCTATGAGCTGTACTGTGTCTCTATGAGCTGTACTGTGTCTCTATGAGCTGTACTGTGTCTCTATGAGCTGTACTGTGTCTCTATGAGCTGTACTGTGCCTGAGGCTCTATGAGCTGTACTGTGTCTCTATGAGCTGTACTGTGTCTCTATGAGCTGTACTGTGTCTCTATGAGCTGTACTGTGTCTCTATGAGCTGTACTGTGTCTCTATGAGCTGTACTGTGTCTCTATGAGCTGTACTGTGTCTCTATGAGCTGTACTGTGTCTCTATAAGCTGTACTGTGTCTCTATGAGCTGTGCTGTGTCTCTATGAGCTGTACTGTGTCTCTATGAGCTGTGTCTGTGTCTCTATGAGCTGTACTGTGTCTCTATGAGCTGTACTGTGTCTCTATGAGCTGTGTCTGTGTCTCTATGAGCTGTACTGTGTCTCTATGAGCTGTACTGTGTCTCTATGAGCTGTACTGTGTCTCTATGAGCTGTACTGTGTCTCTATGACCTGTACTGTGTCTCTATGAGCTGTACTGTGTCTCTATGAGCTGTACTGTGTCTCTATGAGCTGTACTGTGTCTCTATGAGCTGTACTGTGTCTCTATGAGCTGTACTGTGTCTCTATGAGCTGTACTGTGTCTCTATGAGCTGTCTGTGTCTCTATGAGCTGTGCTGTGTCTCTATGAGCTGTACTGTGTCTCTATGAGCTGTACTGTGTCTCTATGAGCTGTACTGTGTCTCTATAAGCTGTGTCTGTGTCTCTATGAGCTGTACTTT